ACATGTATTTGCACATCATTTTGCTAAAATTATTTGTTTAGGACTTCACAGTTGCTATAAGTAAAGAAGCGCAAGCAAAATAAGCTAAATAAAGATTGCAGAGAAAATGATGTTTTGTTACATTTGCCCATCATATTCTCAAACAATAGAAGGCTTTAGATTATGATAATGAGCAATTCACAGTGACGGCACAATGCAAATAGATATTTTGGCCAGCAGCACAATAAATAATAGGCATTTTTAGTATTAGAACTTTTTAAAAGGCACATTTCAATAGATAATTTCAAAACGTGGCTTCAATGTTTGCAAATAAACATGTATAAGCATTCAGTAAAATCTGTGTTTTCTTTAAAATGTGCTTTACCAGCAACTGTGTTGGAAGACTCATTTCAAATCCTATAATTCACAGCTCTGAAGGCACCAGGCACACCCTCTGGGTGAATAATTTGCTCAAGGGAGACAGTGTGTGAATAGTCCTTGGCCCATTAAGGCTGCAGGGTTCAAAACATTGATTCCAGCACGACTATTATATTGGTTGTAAAACTTTAAAAATGTTGTGGTGGTAGTACTAGTGTTTTAAAACCAGCCAAGCTGTAGGAACTTGTGTTCAAATGATCATGGCTAAATCAACAATCCTAAATGCCCTTGAGCCTGTCTTTTAATGCAGGCTTCGTGTCTGAATAAACAAGCATAGAATTGGACTGGAGTGCTTTACAAAACGATGGCTCCTGATTGAAGGCTCTGATCATCACCACAGCTAGCCAAAAATTCAGATTTCAGTGAGACTTAGCATGCCAGGAAATGTTTTCAGTTCATGTGTAAGACTAGCACCCAGTTATGAATACAAAAGTATCATTTTGGGTAGCCTTATATTTTTGTGCCAGTATGTTCACAAATATCCTTCTTTCAGCCCTTGACCTGGTAGGAGAGAATTAAAGGATTCTTCAGTTCCTATCACCACCACAACTACCTGCATAAGACATCAGGAGGTCCCATAAGCACTGATCTGCATACAGTCAGTTAATCTGCATATTAGTGGCTGGACCAGGCTATTTTCAAGGAACATTTTGCTCAATTGCTCCAAAGGGTCTGAGAAGGAAATGCATGCAGAAACGATTGTATATACACAATGCATACTTTTATCTTCTTTTCCAAGGAAACTCCTGCAGTACTGGCCCAGAAAGTCACTTTTAAACTCGAATCCTGGGACACTTAAGTGGTGGAGAGGCCTCCATCAAGCACTCAACACATCACATGCTGTTAGGTTTTCTGGATGGGAATTAATTCTCAGCAGATATCTTATGCTGGTACTGCTACAGACCAAATTAACAATTGTACAAAGTGGAACATTTATTTCACGGAGGAGTGCCCCTGTTTACTTAAAGGTATTTGTAGCTCAGTTAATGCTCTCCACTGTTATTTCATTCATGAAAAATCACATTATAAAGTTGGTATGCAAGGTTTTAACAGATTGTTAGAATTAAACACACCTGAAATCTTCAAAATCTTGTTTAATTTTTTTTTACAAAAAATATTCACTCTTATTTTTTTCTTCCTCAGATGTGGTTAATAAGAAGTTGGTTTTTCTGTTTCTATTCAAATCCATCATCATTAATATTCAAATCTCGTGATTCTCCATGGTTCAAAACAAAGAAATCTTCCGTTTGCAATCCATATCTCTCAAGAGCTTCCTTCAGTTTTGCGGGTGGATCTAAGTAGTACTATGAAGAAAACAGGAAATGCCAGTTTAGACATAGATTAAGCTCTGCGCTGAGTTCACCAACTGAGTATGTTCTCCTTACAAATTTAGGGGAAAAGACTGGCTCTCCTGAAATCAAGTAAGATTTTCCCTGTAAAACAAAATCTGCTACCACCTTTTAATGTAGTTCCCTCTGATGCAACTGATTCCTTATGCTTCTGTCGTAATTGGTATTGCAAACTACAAACCGGACTTAGCAGCAGCTAGCCATCCTTGGCTGATCTTAAAAAAGCTAAGCAGGGTAAGACCTGATTAGTCCTTGGGTGGGAAACTACCAAGAAATCTCAGCATTGTGGGTTAGATTGGGACATCAAAAAAATATCCCCGGAAGAAGGGACAAGGAACTAATTCCATGCCGTTGCTAAGAAAAATATGTGAACCTGTCCATGAAGTTACCAGTCAAGGTTGATGTGCAGACTTTAGCTTTACTTTCAGTCTTTTCCTGTTCTTGAAGGACCAATTAAAAATAGCTGAATCCAGATAATACATTTTATTTATTCCACTTAAAACTTTCCATTAAAACAAGGTATATAAGTTACTCATTATTCTATCCTAACAACCTTGTGAAGAATGCCAGGGTGAAAAAAAGAGCGTTCCAATGAGTGACATATCGTATTTGGAGGTGGCTATGAACCTAATCTTCAACACTACAGGACTCTCTGCAAGTGGTTCTACCTGGTACCCTCGTCCTTTTGGTCTACAATTACCATAATCCTTGTTAGTTGGAAGGCATAGGTTGGGGGAGACAATACATGCAATGGGTTCTCTGGCCTGCACTTGGCCTTTGGAACATTTCTTTGGAATACATTTCTGGGGAATAAAAAGCAAGGAAGAAGATCTTAATGGTGCAAATAAAATCCAGAAGATGAGAGGGGCAGCATGAAAAAGCCAGAACAGAGAGGCAGGCCTGAAGCTAATGGTTGATTCACCAGGCCATTTTATAAATTTAAACATCATACCTATCAGGATCAATTGGAAAGGGAAAGCTCAGTTCCAGTGATTACACTGACACATCATTGTTTTTTTGGTTACAATACGAGGAAGTTTTTTCCACCTTCCCAGTCTGGTCTACAGCATTGGGATTTCTGGTGGTCTCACTCCAGTACTAACCAAGTCCAACCCCGCTTAGTTTTATTCGTGATTAGGTAAGCACTGACACTGATACATGGCGATGTGTTCTTGATACATTACATAATATCAGTGAGAAAATGTCCTTAGTAATCTAGAAAGTTAGAGCTTTACATTGTATTGTTGCTGAATTCATCATGACCTCAGCTGTCTAAAGGCTTAATTTTAGTGCCTACTGATTTATATAAAACGAATGATCAACAAATAGAAATTGTCAGAATTAAAAATGGCTCGCATCCATAAAACACTCAAACTTGCATAACAAACTCGGCGGCTTAATCTTAAAATGATGACGCAGCGCATTTCAAGTCCTGATGGTCCGATGCACCAACAATTGTGTCAGCATCATTTCTTTCATCCATAATGCAAGCCCTGCAGGCAGAAAGTCTGACACACACACCTTTGAATAGATGAGCATACTATTGGAGGTGGGCTTTTTCCCCTGAAGCGTATTTAAAATGTAAAACTATACAGACTCTATTTTATACGCAGTGATTCACGAATAATGTAATGATGGCCACGGGTACTTGTGGCAAGGGTACACCCATGGCCGAGGTGTCTGCAGAATCCTGCAGTTTTGTGCTGTAAACTCCACCCGTTTTGTACATGTGTGTGATGCACACACAAAAGAGGCAGTCTGCATCACATCAACTCTGTTTCATCAGGCTAGACTGAACACAGCCAATGTGGGGGGTGGGGTGGGGTCAAGTTATTTGCAAGACAACTGTTGTTCATGACAGTTTGTCTCCAAACTGAAATCCATTTCTGAAACTGTCTTAAGTGCTCACCTGTGAAAACAATTCAGCTGACATGCAGAAGTTATTTTGGGGAAGCGAACCCAGCATGGTGGAATTTTGTTCCAACCAGAGTTTAATAGGATCGAACTTTAAAAGGTTTAAGCAGGCCCTGAAAAAGTACTAGTTTACTGCTTTTAGGATTTTATGTCTGAGTCGCTGTTATGGCGGTTTTGTAATATGCGATCAGTGGTTATTGAACTAAGTAGCATTTCAACGTTATTCTGGCTACTACTATTTCATTTTACCATAACCGTAATTTCAATTATATTTTTATAATGTTACAATTTTTAAAGTATTTCCATTGACGTAAGCCACCTTGTAGGAAAGATGTTCTGAAAGCAATTCAGAAAGGGGAAAGGTTTGAACATCCACAATGGGATGAACTAATGAGGTTTTGTTTGGGAGTAATTTTCAAGGGTCTATTATTAGGTGCTGGAATTCCATCCACGTGGATTTAAAATAAGGTCAAAGGACTGAACAGTCTCATAAGTATAGTTTAGCTAACAAAAGCAGCGGTCCTTTCTAGTAGGATAGGCAACCAACAGGCCTGATGCCTGATTTGGTCCCCCTCCATAAATCCTTGGATGCAAATCCTAGCATTTCTACAAACGTTGCTGCTTGTCTTCCTAGCACTGGGAAAATTATGAAATACATGTGGAATTATCCTAGTAAAGTTGCTCTTGAGTCCCGGGTGACTCTTGGTGACTTTGTAGGTCTTGGTAACGACCTCAACATGATTTCCTATTGGCCCTCTTCTGGGATGAACCATTTCCCCCTCTAGCCTACAGCTTTGGGATCCCGGTCACTTCCCATTAAAATACTATCCAGATCTGCTTAGCTTCCAAGTTCAGCCAAAGTCAGCAGTTGCTGCAATTATAGAAACTGCTTTTAATGAATGTAATTTCAAATATACTTACATTTTAATCAAGTCAAATTGGGTTTTTTGTCTTGGCTTGCACACTGTTTGGAGAGCAGTTCCCAATTGGCTACTCAAAGGCCAATATGGCACTCAGCCCCCAAAGGTTTTGCATGGCTCTGTTACCCAAGGCAGGGGTAGAAGGGTAATTTTACTGCATATATGCATGATGGCAGTGAAGGTGTTCCTCAACCAAGGGCACCCCCAATTATTTTGCCTGTGATTCCAACCCAAAGGCACTCATTCAGGCTTCACACAATGCATTTTGGTCATTTTTCTTGAATAACTTCAGGACACTTACAAGTAATTCCACTTCTGTGAGGAAAAACAACAAAACTGAGTTCATGTAAGATTACTTAGAAAAATATAAACTAGTGTTTGAAAGAGGGGATTAGGCATAGAAAGACTTTCTTTATGTACAGAAATGGTCTGCTGTGTAATTCTTCAGGCATTACTCTGATGTAGGCAGAGACCCGAAACAAAGACTAATGTTTATATACTCCTTGGCTGCCATCTTGATTTTTTTTATTCCTCTCCCATGGACACTCCTGGGTGTGCAGCATTTCCTTTGGGACCTACAAGATTGTGGAACCCTAAACGTGGCTCTGGGAGAAGTACTTTTAATGATATCATGGTATCCCTTCCTCAAACTCCAGAATTGTCACGCAACATAAACAATGTGACCGGCAAAAAACCATTAAGATGAATCAGGGTCAAGTGTTTAAACTTTTAACTGGTTAAAGATGGAGGTTTCAACAGGCCGATGTCACTTTCCCTGGTGTTTAAACTTATAACTGGTTAAAGATGGAGGTTTCAACAGGCCGATGTCACTTTCCCTGGCAGCATTTCCTTTGGGACCTACAAGATTGTGGAACCCTAAACGTGGCTCTGGGAGAAGTACTTTTAATGATATCATGGTATCCCTTCCTCAAACTCCAGAATTGTCACGCAACATAAACAATGTGACCGGCAAAAAACCATTAAGATGAATCAGGGTCAAGTGTTTAAACTTTTAACTGGTTAAAGATGGAGGTTTCAACAGGCCGATGTCACTTTCCCTGGCGTGCTGAAGTCAGCCCAAACATTTAGAGCTCGTGTGTATATGTGCACTTTTCTTCTAATATGCATTTTTGTACACTTAATTTCTGCCTGGGTGACAAATATCTTCAATGCACTGGGGGTTTGTGTGCATTTTACCCTAGCTAAAGTTGTTTTTGCTTTTTATTTCTTTGTCTTTTAAATCCTAATGCAGGTATTAATAATTTTCTTTTAAAAAGACTTCCCTAAAGATGACAGAGCTACGTATGGACAAGTGTTTTCATTTAGCATTATTATCATTACTACCAAAATAAACACAGGGATAACATTGGAATTGGGTGGCCAATAAATAAATAAAAGTACCAGCCCGTTAAAATGTCAAATCATTTTAAAATGTTTGGGTTTTTGTTTTGTTTTTTAGAATTGTCAAAATGTAATAATTCGGATGCTAAAAGAAATATATTGGAGTCCAAATGTTATATCTAAAATCCTTTGCTAGTGTGGCCATAGCACTTCTACAATTCAAGACTTCAAGACAAGAACTGCAATATTCTGTTGATTAATATATACCTCCCTCCAGTTTGTAGACAGTGATTATTAACAGTCTGTGGGACTTTCACAACTAGTTTAGGACTAATTTACTACATTCATGCCCAATTTTATCTGTTTTATTCTGTGTCTGACTGCAGGCCAAATGGCAGTAATAATAATCTGATTTGATTTGAAAACCCTATTTCCAATCTCTACCAAAAATAAATGATTCTATCGCTTCTGTCCATCAGCTATGATTAAACAATCTAATCACACTCTGTGTACTATTCATCCTCAGAACAGATGGACCAGTGAATAATTGTGAATTTTCTAGATCATGGATGGAAAATATCTGGCATTCCAGATATTGTGCAATTCCCAGTTGAGCTAACCAGCATGGTAATGATGTGAGATGATGCAATCCAGTAACATCTGGAAGGCCACTCTGTCCACTGCACCATCTTCTTCCTTAAGAAACACAAATTACGGAGTATCTAGAAGCCCAAGGGATGGAATTCTCTTTGGCTGGTTAATTTTCATAATTTTTGGAGTTTAAGTGAAATGTGATGCTTATTTTCTTGAGATGAAACCTATGCTCTGCTATTAGAACCTGAGGAACATACGGTCCTACATGCTTCCATTTGAAACTAAACATCTGCAGGTTGCATCAATTATGAGTTATATGTACCTCATTTGCTAAAGTAAAGGTTCCCCAGTGAATTCCAATGGACTTCTTTGCTTGTACATCAATGTGAATCCTTACTGCTTCTTCAGGATCCACATGCTGGCATTTCATGAACCACCTACCAAAGGAAAAAAAGGTTTTCTTGAAGGTTACATTGAAAATTTTGTATCCTAATTGTATTTTTACGAAATTAGTGATTTAATTACAGCTTTTTTCTGGCAAACCTAAATCTCCCTGTTGTCACTTTCATTTTGTATTTCTATAGAAGATTTTGCTCCCTATTCCCATGCTGCTACAAATATTTACCTATTCATCTGTTAAGCACCCTCTCCAGCTAAATGCTTCCATAAATGCCATGCCTTTTGCAAAATACCACATAGATTATGTCTAGTTCCACTGTACTGTCTGCTGTCCAGCCCTCCCTTGTTAATTAGAAGCTAGCCTTACCTTCTGCCTCTCTTTCTAGTTCAGCCTTCCTCAACTGCTCACCCTAAAAACTGTTGTGCCTAGAATTTGACAGTCTCAACCTTGTCTAAGGGGCACCAAGCTGCGGAAGGCTACTTTAGATTGTGAGTTTTCATTGCAAGGGCCGTGATGCTCCTTATATTTTATGTAACCGGCATATCTACAGCACTATCAAAAAACAGTAGTGGGTTTATACTTTGACCTACATGCTCTAGCTATCATACCTTGGTTCATATGCTCCAATGGGAATAGCTGCAAGATCGAAAGGTCCAAATCGCTTTCCTATTTCCTCAAAGGCAATACAATAACCAGTATCTCCAGCAAAAAAAAAACGGTTCCAGGGTCCCAGAACAGACCAGCTTCCCCACAGAACTTTGTTGTCATCTGTTGCAGTCCTTTGGGACCAGTGTTGAGTAGGAGTAAAAACAAACGTAACTGCATCATGACCAGGAACACAGTTTTCTCCCCACCAGTCCAGTTCAATTACATTCTCACAACCATATTTCTGCATCCACTCTAAAAGACCCAGGGGCACAAACCACCTCAATTCACTGCCAAAACGTGCATTTAAACTTATTACAGTGTGATAGTCCAAATGATCGTAATGGGCATGGCTGATCAACACTGCATCTATTTTGGGCAGTTCATCAATTTTACATGGAGGACCTCGGAAACGTTTAGGACCTAAAAACTGTACTGGGGAAGCCCGTTGGCTGAAGATGGGATCAGTAATAAATATAAGTTCATCCATTTCCACCATCAGTGATGCATGTCCAAGCCAAGTTATTCTCATACCAGTTCCAGTTCTTCCAACTAGTTCAGGGTTTTGGACAAAATAAGGTGTTAACACTGGAAGCACTCTGTCAAGGTCCTAGCAACAGAAAAACAGCAAAGACAAAATCAAAAAATCACATCCAAGCAACAAATATTACTTGTCTTTTCAGGCCTTTGGCCAGTAAGGTTATTCAACCAATCTGTACCTTCAGGCGGTAATTTTAAAGTTCATCAGATAAACACAATGAAATGTGGACCAACGTTGCTCGTGTACATCAGGTTTGTCCATGGCATCTCAGACTTCAAGTACTGGACAATTTCAGACGGTAGCTAGATAATGGTAGATACCTACAATCTGCATCCCTGCAATCTTGTAAAGATATGTCAATGGAGCTAGTGCATTTCAAGAGAATGGGCTTCCCAGGACAAATCATCCAGGGCAAACAGGAAAGACGCAACACACACAATAGCTGCAGGATACAATTCCAGCCAGTCATTATGACTATGACTAGCTGCAGTACAAAACACTACTGTATGCTTCATACAGCGTATCAAGAAACTTCGGTACGAAACAAACAATTCTGTGTTTCTCTATTCAGAAGGAAATACTGCTCTGCTGAAAACAAGTGCACTCTAAAGAGCATTTTCCAAGTGGCGAAATCCATTTTAAAATAAATTTTGCATACTGGGATAGTCAATACAGCTAAAGCAAGAACTACAGTGGTCTATAAGGTACAACTGTCCAAAAACAGGAATCTCATTTCTGAACTGTTGTAATAAAGCCACTAAATAAACAGGGATAAGAATTAACCAGCAATTTACTGGCATCATCTTGTCGTTCTATATTCGCCCTCAGCTTCAAGTATATAGCTAATCTTTCATCACATTTGTGATTTTGGTTGTTACTGAACTAAACTGATTCAGTTGATTTTATTTATTTTTTGCTTTATGGCATTAAATCAAATGCCCTTACTGAAAACTGCAACTACAAAAAAAATCTATATAGCATTGATTTACTTCTCTTGATCCCCAAATACGTTTCATCTGAAGGATCACAGTAAAACCTACTTGTGGATCAAGAAAGAGAGTGAATCAGTAGAGAGTTTTGTATGTTTCACTTAATTTAAGAGCAGCCACTTCCTTCTTGCATGAACGCTGAGGCAAATTTGCTGATGCTATACAGAGGTAAGGGGCAATAATTCACATATGCAAAAGGTGGACAGGAGCTGTACAATAAATAGGATGCATCTAAAATCTGATGATAAAGTCTAAAGGCAAAGAAGGCATATGTTGAAAAGCTGAAATAAGTAAGCCAATAGAAGCGAATATGTGTAGCTCAGGGTTGAACTGTGGAGTCCTTGGGGTTCTCTGAGCTTGGTTCTTTTCTTGCAAACGTTTCATTACCCGGCTAGGTAACATCTTCAGTGCTAAAATATTTAGCTCAGAGAACCCCAAGGACTCCACAACTAAGTAAGCATCAGAGAGGAAACTCTTAAGAAAATATAATGAAATGTTGATTTAAGCCCTTATTTGAATAAGTTAAAAAATAATGTGATTTGCTGCCCCTCTAAGATTACAGGGTTAGGGTTAATACTCATCACAACAACTACATATCCAGCTGGCTTCTCCAACTACTATTTCAGTTGATTTACAAACACACATGATCTTCCTTCACTGACTTAATCTAAATCTTTCTAACTGCTTTCCCCGTTCATACCTCCCATCACTAAGAATGTCAGCTTATTCCCATAAATTTGCCCTTTTTTTAATTGCAGCCATGGAAAGTTACTTAAAAGTCCCGAACAGAGCTGAAAACATATGTAAAGTATCTTTCAGACAAGTGTTGTTTTAATAGAAAGCTCTGAAAGATTACATTTGTAATCTGTTAAACTTAGATTGCTGGTTGCCACAGCAGATTAATGTGCCCATTTTCCAACTGAAGTTAAGGAATTCAAAGAGCCATGGAACAAAATTATAAAAAAACAAGTTATGAACCTTAAGGCATTTTCTGGGGCAAATCTGTTTTTTAATATGATTAACTACCCAATTATCTTCCCTTTGGAAAAATGCTGATCACAACTTCCTTTGCCTGCATAGTAAAAAATATTTTACACCCAGCCTAGCATACAGTATATGTGAACACATTCATCACTATTCCTATGGCCATTTTATTTTTGGCACAGAGCTCTATTTTATTCAATATTCAGTGAGTATTCCCTCTGGATACAGAAGAGCAAATATGCAGGATGTCCTTTAGCAAGCAACAACACAACATGAATTAAAATCAAACGTTCTCTATACAGCTGCATTTTAATGTAAGACCTTTCAGCAGAAACCCAGAAGCAAACAATAAAGCCGTTAATCTTTTAATGGCTTTAGTCTGCATTGGTATTAGCTCAGCTTGAGAAATATGTCAGTCTACCTACAACCAACCAGCTTGAGTGCCAGAGTTGCGACAGATGTTTCAAAGCTGGAAGCATTAGCAAATTGGCCACAGAAACAACTGTTTGCAGGAAATGTACATATTGCTACATTTATGTGCACAAACAAAACCCAATGGGAAAAGATCTGTTTCACTTTAGGGGACAAGGGAAGGGAAAAGACAGATTGCAGAGGAAAAAATAAACCTGAATATTAGCAAACTAGCATCCAGTTTGGAACTTACACCACAGGATTTATTTCCACCAAATCAAACAAGGATCCTGCTGATCTCAGCATCTTTAGAAAATACCCCTGCAGCAGCATTTCGGAAACACTCCAAAAACTTGTATATCAAAACTTGTATTCTGATTTAAAGTGGTTTGGTTATGTTGGCTTCCTAGCACAGAGTCACGCCCATCCGAAGAATATCCACTTAAGATTGTATGAAAAGGATGCTGAGGAAGAAACCTGGAAAAGTGCCCGCATGCAGACCTTGGCCATGCCACAGATCTTTCCTGTTTTCCATCTGCCCTCAGTAGCAGCAGAACATCATTCTCGTTAATGGGTGAAGTTTAAGAAGCCAGAATAAAGAAATAACTCAGCAGGCAGGGCAAATGCATCTCTGTTTCTGGAATTATTCGTCCTTGGGACGGGAAAGTTTGCTCCTTTACCTCTAAAAAAAGGGTTAGCATTAGGGCTCCCTGATTGCAGCCTTTCTTAGTTTTCTCCAAAGCATAAACCATGGACTTTGATGGCAGAAGTGAATCCAGCCCATACTGACAGAGGATACGCTATGCCCACCAGTTCTTCCATGGGAAGAACCTGGCTGCAGACTAGCCCATTCTCTGCAAAGGGAACAGAAAGAAAAATGGTTTTATAAAAGTACTTGGCTTACACAGAACAATTTGTGGAAGACAAGGTTCTTGACGTGACTGTTGTTATAACTGCAGTATCTTACAGGGCCTCTTATGAACGCATGGAGCGTCTACAGGCCACGATGAGCAATGATCAAGGAAAGCTGACGGTGATGTGGAGATTCTCTTCATGGATCGCATCAATCCCCTTTGAGTGCTCAGCAGTGGCAGCACTTGGCTGACTCTGTATAGAGCTTGAAAGCCAAGCATGTCTGGGTCTAGTTAGGACCTGCATTAGGGGACCGCACAGAATACCAGCATGGTAAGCTCAATTGGAAACATCTAGAAAGTAGACAATGGCAAACCGCTCCCATATCATTGCCAAAACAAATGCACAGAAGTGCCAACAAGGAGTGGAAGTCAACTCAAAGAAGATCTTTTTTTTTTTTAAATCAGAGTAATAATATTATTCTATATTATTCAATAAGAGAGATAGAGCTTTTCTTCACTAGTGACTTTTGAGTCCCTTTGAAGTAGCCTGGCAAATCCAATTTTATCCCCCCCTGCTCACATGAAGCTGAACTGGTTTTGCCCCCAGCCTTATTCTGCTCTTTTCCACACCACAAAAGATGCTGGGCTATGAGAGTCAGGACGATGTCCTTATGACAGTGACACTTTGCACCACCATCGCAGGGGCTGGATTCCTTACAATTCCTTTAATTCACAATAAGAAAATGTTCCCAGAAACTATCTTGTCTTTGACAGGCCTGGCATCAACTTTAACAACTCCGAGGAAGTACAGCTATAAACGTATGAACCTCTCCTTTGATATTCCCCCCCCCCTTCGTAGGCATGACCGCTGGCATGTTCATGGAATGGGGGGATTCATTCAATTATTACTAGGCAATTCTTCAGAACCTTCTCACTTCAAATAGGCCTGGGCTAAATGGATGAGTAAATATGCTTGCAGCATAAGCAGTGGAGGGTTTTATTTAGAGAAATCAGGAAGATTCTTGTAGCACCTTAAAAACTAGCAAGTTTATGCAACAATACATTTGTTGGTCTTCAAGATGCCACAAAGCTCTTTCTTGTCCTGCTGCAAAAGACTAAGACTGCTATCCCTTTGTAATTTTTTTGAAACAACACATAGAGACTAATCTGGATCCCCAACAATTGCCCTTATAACTCTGTTCCCAGGACCAATTATAAAAGACATGTGATAAAAGATACCAATATCTTAATATTAAATATGTGCACACTACATCAATTACTAAAGGAACACAATTATCAAATACAACATTTCCTTTTAGAACGCTTAAAAGCAGAGGATCAATCCTTTCTTTCTACTACTTCTATTTTCTTTGCAAAATATGAAGTCACTGAAAATGCATGTTCATTGATTGTGTTCTTCACATGCTAGAAAGCATCTGTGATGTTGAACACAATATATTGGTGAAGCAGCCTCAAGTCAATGGTGCTAATACTTGAAAAGACTACATTTTTCTTAACTATATTAGACTGAAGACTGAAATAGAATATATTATTTATATTATAGTCTCAATCTGAAGAAATTTATGCTTTAGGTTCTGTTGAAATCAAGAGCAAAAGTCACCTCTGACAAACTTTCTGTTGACTGATGCCAGTCTCTTGGATTCTAAAGCCCCAAGATAAGGTGCCAGAATATCAAAGAGGAAAAACATAAACCAAATATGTGTTGGACTGTGCTATAAATTCTTTAGAAAATAGTATACTTGCTGAGTGTATTTACATATTATGCTGGATTAGGGTTATTTGTTGCATTCACACTTAACAATGTCTATGCTTGCTTCATGTATTAAATTATTTTAGGGTGCTATTATATTTGATAATTAAATATTCATAGTCAATTTATTTGCATATTACATTTTCCATAAATGTAAGTACAATAACCAGGAATATATTTACCTGTTTTGAAGATGGGACATTGCTGTGGTCTTTTTCTGTAAGAGCCCACTTTAAAGTACCTAGGAAGGATGGTGATTTCCATGTTGACCAGGGGTTGATAAACCTCCCATCTTTACCTTTCTTTGATTTTGTTACATCTTCCTCCAGCCGATAATCCAATCTGAAGCTTTTTCTAGATGTCTGGGAAGAACTGCTGCCTCGAGAACCTTGACTTGAATTCTGACGTTTTCTTACTTCTTCTTTCAAGTTTTCACTGCAAGGCTGCTTTGCATCCATTTTATTTGGTAACAAACTAGGAAAAAAAGTTAATTCTCTTTCTTAATTGAAACATTAAAGGAAGGGAAAAAACATCCCAAGCATACCCTAAAAAACATCTCCCCAAAATAAATCTGCAAACTCCTCCTTCATTTTTCCATGCAAAGAATGTTTAAGAGCACGTCTTAGCATGCAGACATTATGATTTCCTTAACAAGCAGACAAAAAGCTTGTTCTGGGCCATACAGAGTGTCAGCCTTTCACGCTGCTGCATTCCAGAAAGAGAAGCCTCATCTCTGGCTGAATAACAAGCTATTTGTGAAGTTCACAATCACAATTTTATAAGCAGCTAATAGAAATAGCCCCATAGAGACATATAAGACTCTATTTGGCAATCCTATGCATTTTTATTTGCAATAGTAAGTGGGGACCTATGGAGAGATGGGGAATCATAGATGAAGGGAAAGAAATATGTCAAATAAAATCAATTTCCCCACCATCGGGGTTCCTTAAACAGTGACAGAGTCCTCTCTCTCTCATTTTAGGGAGGAGAAAGTAAGTCATGATAAGGCTTTACTGCAGTGCTATTTAACATGTAAAAGTACTATTATCAAAAGGTGTTATGTCTTGATCTTTCCACAGCAAGTAATACTTATGGTTTGCAAAGGATCTCACATCCATAAACATGTTGCATTTGCTTCTTTTATCTCAGAGCTGAGATTTAATTCCAGAGTTAAAAAATGCTAGCTCAGCAGACTTTGCACATCTCAGGATCAGTAAGTGTTTTCCAGCTGCAGTACTCTGAACTTCTGTCAGAAACCTTTGATTAAAATGAACTCTTCGTCCTCTGTTAACATCACAAGTGCTGCCCCGATTGCTAATCCAGTTACTAAGAAATAAAAGGGCATTTGTAGTCCCCAGAGCAATGCACAGTTGGAGCATTTCATGATTAGAACACAGCATGATATATGAGCATAGACATGTATATATACATATACATACCTATGAGACAGGTACATTTTAAGCACTCAGAGACACATTAGAACGGAGTATTGAACTTGCACAGGCTAGAAAACCAAAGTCTCCACCAAGCTGACAACAGGAGCTCATGACTAATTTTCCAATGTGGGGAAAATAAGAGTTTTGATAGCAACCAGGAGGGCAACCAGTGGTTAATTTATAAATAAGATGCTCAGTGTACAGTGTCTTTCTACATCTCCCAGTTAGAAGCTACCCACCTGGACTGAAGAAGTACCATTGTTTACAATTTGCAAAATTTACTCGTATATTCAAGAGAGTGTCCTCCTCATCCATCCTGCCAGCTCTAATCTAAATCTTTTTTTAATTAACTGAAAGTGCTCAGAGAAATTTGGACTTTTCTTCCTTGGATGGAAATACTAGAAAATTCCACTTACCTAAATAGTATCTGATGAAGTGAGCTGTAGTTCACAACAGCTTTCAGTAAAACTCACTAGTCTGAAAAGTTGCTACCAGACTCCTTCTGGTTTTTCGCTACCACACACTGACATGGGTCTCCTCCTACAACATCTACTAAATAGCTAATCTCACTGAACCGGAAGTTGAGGAATGCTGTTATTACTACTGGTTGACTAAGATCTTTGCTCTACTTGCTAAAGTATTTATTTTCTATTGTTATTCAGTAATTTCTGGATGTGGCATGTGGAACAAGTAATTCCATCCGGCTGAACCAAAGAAAGATCAGGGCATTTCCACTGGTTTGGTAAGAGTACAGTTCACTTATTTTCCTCCTCTTTGCTTTTTCCCTGTGTGTGTGTGTGCTTGTTTTTTTCACATTATGATCTCTCCAGAGAACCTCCTGGATTTTTGGCAGCCTCTCTGAGGTCATGTCACTAGAAAGCAGGACAAAATGCATCCACTATGAGCAATAATGGAAGCCTTAAGAGCCTGAGAAATTTAACAACCCTGGATAATACATCCATAAGTACACTGTAATTTGGCATCATCATTCAGCATGAAAAAAAATATTTTCAATTTCTTTTAATTCTCTGCTATTTTCTCAACATTTTCTAATAGTTTATGGAACCATGAGAGGTAGGAACAGCCACTGTTACAACCCAGACTGGCCTCTCCTATGAAACAGATAGAAATAAATAGCACCATCAGACCCGAGTGCCTTTTCTGATACTCTCCTAGAGGGATGTGTTAACTAGACATTTAAAACCAACAGAAAGATCTGTAATATGGTCTTACATAAAATGCCCTCAGGATCCTGTTTGAACTCCTAACATCATGACATGTTTGTGAATCTCCATATCTCACAAGACCGATGGACGGCGTAGCGTCAACAATAAGGATTTAGCAAAAGGCCTGCTAAGTTCCAGAGAAGAAATAACCACGCACCTTGAGATCAAAATGTCCTGTGTTTATGGCTGGCAAGTTTGTTTGTTTGTTTGTTTGTTTATTTGTCAAATTTATATCACCGCCCAACTCCCCCACAAGGAGAGATCTATGAGAAGAAGGATGCTGGCTGGAATTTATGGCTCTCACATTTTGAGAGCATCAGTTGGCAAAATCTGGCTTGGAAATTAGTGTGAACAAACTGTACATAACTGAGAATAGGAGAACAAAACAGGCTAAGAAAATATATTTTTCTAAAGAACATGGTTTAATGGGCTGTATAAACAAAGGGTATCTCAAGTTAGTCATCAGAGAGAAACAGGTAGGAAATATGAAGAAGTGAAAGAACCAAGAATAGCCAGAGACCACTTCCTAATTAATTTGAATTGCTTTGTTTCAAGTACTGCCAATAATTTGGCTGCAGTTCTTTGCTGAAAATTAAGGTTTCATTCTTTAATTTTTAAAATAATTTTTAAAAACCTAGTGGTTTGAAGTGTTAGAGCAAAGTTCCTGAGCAACCTCGGGACAAAGTTCAAGACCATTCCTCCATTCAGGACATGGGTTGGTAAGTTTCCAAAATGCCTTTATTAAGAGTCTGCAGAGTCTTAATAAAGTACACAAGAACACATTAAGAAATGTTTCCTGGGCAAGATCCCAGACACACACCAACAAGCAAGCTTTTATAGTCGCCCAAAGAGTTTCAGGTGGTACAAATGCATTGGTTAATACATGAATTACTCCATATCTGGTCATCTTTTCATTAATCTGGAAGTTCAATGCTTATAGTTTATCTTATACACATGGAACAAAGCATCCATTATGCCATGGCAACACACAGTGGGTAACAATGGAAATTTACATTTATCTACAGCTTTCCCCATGATAAAAAAAGGGTTTTCTCAGACAGACTTCTTCCTGGAAGAGGGGGACTTATGTTAACAAGCCCCTTATGCTACTGTATGCTTAAGTTCTTCTGTTCCTTTGTGGTTGCCCTAGTTTCATATATCAAAAGCAGACAGCTTAACCACATCCTTATACATGCTAATCACCAGGTCAGGCATAGTATCACCAGGGCAGCTATCTCGCATACATCCCTAACTGAAGCAGGGGCATCCATGAGAGTGGACCAAAATAGACAAGATGGTGGTTATGACCACACAATCAAAGCCCTGCCCGTTTATATGTGTTGCTTGTGCGATACGTATAAAAAAAAGGCAGAGCTTAAATCATGCAATTACCCTCTTGATTTTTTTTTTAATTGTCTCTGTGGATTTCCTTCTTTCGAAGGTGAGCATCACTGTCAAGAACTCGCCCTGTATAAAAAATGCTATGATAATGACCTAGTTTATACACAGCATTAAGCCCCAATAAGGTCAATATTAGATTTTGCTTATAGCCACTATAATACATAAACCACACTTTATGGCTCAGTAAACTATATTAATCTATTTTCTGGATTTTTTCCCCCATTTTGTCTCTCATAGTTGAGGTATACCTATGATGAAAATTACAGGCCTCTCTCATCTTTTTAAGTGGGAGAACTTGCACAATTGGTGGCTGACTAAATACTTTTTTGCCCCACTATATAAATAGAAGTAAACATATCATACCATTTAAGGACAAAAATTAATCCATTTTGGCCCATGAGCAATCACTGCATAGAAAGAGAAAAAAGAACTAAAAGCAACTGAAGATAATTCAGAGATCTATACAATTTGATAATGTCTATATCAAAATTTAACAACCCAAAGTCAATGCAATGCGTATGTTCTGTAACTATGAACAGTGTTTGCAGCCATCAATCCTAATCTCTCCACATGAAAGAGAAAGCGCTTTGCTTTTAAATTGGCAAAATCATAATCTGGCAGATTACAGTATAGAGAGCTCTCTTCCTTAATATCTTGAACACATTTTAAAGTATCGAGCTCCTCTTGGGCTCACTCCACAGGCACTGATTTACAACTCTTCTAAAAGTAACTACTATAACCTGATCTTTTGTGTGATGACATCTAACCCAAACTGCTATTTCCTCTTACGCCTGATGTGTGGGGGCTAATGGCAAACATGATTAGTCAGCTCATGTTTTAAAACAATCCAAGTGCAGTATTATTGGAAATGGTATAATTTATCCACACGCTGCAACTCCCTTTCCAGCGAGATCTTTGGGAATATGAACCACGTATTATCAATGAACAACTATCAGTGCATGAAAATATGTTCCATGTCATTCCAGTTTAAAAACAGAATACAAGCTGTTACTAGAAAAAAATTAAGCATCCCGTTTGAGGTTAAATTCCACTGAAATCTATGGGATATTCCATCCTATCACCTCAATTTAATTTAGGTTAAGAGTACTGCTTTCAAATTATTTTTAAATAATTAATAAACCAGCACACAATCTACACATTCTTACCATCAGAATCAGAATGAAACCTAGAATTTGCACAGATCAATTAATGAGGGTGTTATTTTTCAAACCTTAGAATTTCATGAACTGCAATCATGCATAAGGTTATGTCTACTAATCTCTCAAAAGAGCTACAAAACATAGGACTGCAGCTTTAGGATTAGTGCAATATTGGTGTGTGTGTGTGTGTGTTTATGTTCCAGTTAATATCCAAAGTGGAAGCTTGCAGAAGACTGAAGTAGCATGTCGCT